TCTTTCCCTTAGAGAAGTAAAGAATAGAACAGGCAAAAAGAAGAGACTATGATAAGGGTGGAGAAATTCTTTGGTATTCGTGGTTCCAAACTCTTGTCAGGGGCAAATAAGAGTAGTTGTAGCCACTGTGTCACAATCAAACTCAGCAAGACCTACAGTTACAACCATGTATCCACATTTTAATTTCTGGGAAGGCTGATTTGTGTATCTATAGTATAATTCAGCTCTTTTTGGAAGGGAAATATCTAACTTATTCTGTTCTATCTGGAACTCATCTTAAAACTGTCTTTATAATTGGAGTTTTGAAGATTAAAACTGAATGAGCATAAACTTTGTAGCTTATTTGTCATGTTTGGATTTGGCTTTTTTGTACGTGAATAAAAGAGGCTTTAGCTCATCTAAGACAGACTTTTCTTGTCCACTCTTTTAGAGTGTTAAATGAACGCTTCTTTCATCATACAGTTTTTACCCTCCCCTTTTTTTTTGATGCATTCCCTGAAATAAGTGAAGTATTGTCAAAAGAGAGAGCAATCCAGAATATGGTTTCCATGACAAATATGGTAATAGAGAAATGCTAAGAAGTCAGCAAGTTTATTTGTTCTGGTTCAGTAAGGTAGCTGAAGCTATAATGAATTCAGGTTATAAGAAAAACAAATTCAGGTAGAATATCAGAAGTAGTTTCACTTATATTAGTAATTTTACTACTCTATAAAAAGTTTGAGAAAAGTGAATCTTCACTGTACATTAGAATTGAACAATGCCCGATTTGCTTTAAAATTGAATAGGGAATACTTAGTGTGAAAAGCAGGGATAATTTAAAGTCCTAGTATTGCTTCCTTTGTGTCCCTCCTCAAACACCTTCTTTCTGTGTTGCTGATAGACATGAGAACACCTGAAGCATACATCTCCCCACTGTTTACATATCGTTCTGCAGAGCACAAGGAGTTACAGAAGTGGGACTTTCATGTAACATTGAGTATACTGAAATTTGAGGCTGGCTGAACTCGGTTTTATCTAATGTCTTGAGGAGTAATGTGTTAGACTGGAGAAATATCTGCACATCAGGAATAGTCCAGTCCTAAAGTGGAAAAAATATTTTTTTTTATTAGTATGACATACTTAATTTTAATCTCTTGCTAAAGCGTTATAATTTTAAAGTGAGTATTTAACCATTTTCAACCCTTTGACAACTCTGAAATAGATTAAGTTGCAAGCTGTGTGTGTATACTTTATCCTGGAAAAATGTGGCTGGGCAAAGCTTAATTTGTGTATGTATTACAGCTGCAGAAAAACTGTCCTCCCATCAGTCTTCTATCAGAGGGAGGGAAGAGAATTATGTTAGTTATCTGCTTAGGAATCCTCAGTTGGTAAAACTGCCTCAGTCTGCCTGGGCAACATGTTAGCAAGCTTCAGAAGCACAGACAAGAGTTTGAGCTGAAATCTGGCATTGGCCTGAGAGGGCATTTTCAGGAAAAATTTTTGGGTTGGGAAAGTGGAGGAGGAGCAATATGCATAAAGCATTGCCGAATAGGTTCCTGTGAAAGGAAATGGACACATTGCACATTTTCTGGTGATGCCATTGGGAAGGAAGACAGCCTAAGCAAGAAAACCTGAATGTGCTACTGGATCTCAGAATATGTTTTAGAACTGGGTTGTGAAGGAATAGTGGAGGAAAACAAGCCCTTCAAACATGGCTTAAAATAAAATTAAAGCCAAGCAAAAACGTCTCTTCCTCTCTCTCCCTCCAAACAAGAGTTCAGTTACTATTGTCATGAAAAGACAAATTTCTCACATTTGTTCACTTAATACTTTAATGGAATTATCTTTTTATGCATGTAGTCCAATGTCTTGCGTTGACACAATGAAAGCTGCTTATGAAAGTATTTGTTTAGTCAAACCACATTTTCAAAGAGTTTTTGCCATCTTCTCAAAATTCATTTGAATAGGTGCATGTCTGGTTAAGTTTGTGTATTTTGAATTTGGATGATGTGAAGGAAGTGCTCTTCACAATATAAGGAAACTTCAATGATAATGTTGGTTCAGCACAACAGTAGGAGGAGGGTTAGACAACAAATTATGGGCTCCTTCAGTCTGGAAATGCTATTTGCTAATAAGTACTGTTGTTGAGAAAATGTGAATCTACTTGATTATATCATTGAAAGTCTAATTTTTAATTTTTTTTTTTATTCTATAATATAAGTTAATCCCGGACTTTGTGTTTCTGTTTACTTAAAGTCAATCTTAATATCTTTCAAAAATACTTAACTGTGCCTATAATAAAGGTGGCTTTTGTAAAATGTTTGCTGATTTCCCCCTTTCTGAATAGTCTGTCAGTATTGACATAGCCACAGTTATAATAGTTATCTTGTTGCACCCTTTCTTCATTAGCTTTTTTTTCCTCCAGCTCTTGTTCATATTCTTAGTGAGGAGGAAGTATTAATAATTTAGTGATTACTGTGGAAAAAGACAAATGTACTTGATTAGCGAAGGAGGGATTATGGTCTCTTTCCTCACCCTGTCCTCTCTTCTCCTATGTCTCTTAAGTGTGCAGTCACAGTTAGCAGTCAGCATCTTGGTCACATACTAAACAGCTTTTCATTCACAGTTTCTGTCACTGCGGACACTAACAAATAATTTAGCTTGGTTTCTTACAAAAATAAGGCATAGACACATTTGTTTCCCTGTCTCCATCCCCTGTAGTTTTTACACTGTTTGATAACTTCTGCCAGATTTCACAGATCACACAAAGTTTGTCAGCGTTGGGTTCTTCCTTATTAAATTCTTGTGGAATTGGGTGGCTGGGTAAAGCCTTATGTCCATGCTCACCCCCCCAATGCCTGGGGGAAGATCTGATGTTATCAAAACCACTGTTCCTTTTTCTGTCCCACTAGGCAGCCAGCTGGTCAACAAGTGGTAGCAACAAGATTGTGCTGCCTTTTGCCTAGATATTGGAAGGAGTTGGAAAGCGTGAGAAAGGTTTAGGGATATTGAAGGGAGGACCTGTAGTTAAAAGGTGAATGGTTCAAGGGTCTTGGACATAAATTCACAGAGAAACAAACTTCATTCATTCTGATACCTGTAGAAAGTTCTTGCTGTGCTGTGAGGCCTGATCGATTCTCTGGTTTTGCATTGAGTTAAAAGTTCATTTATGTATCTGTGAATATGGTTATGTAAAAGTAGGCAGGAGGTAGCCAAGGACCTGTAGTGACAGTTTCAAATAGACGAACAGCTGATTTCATGGAGGAGGAAGCTTTCTGTAACAGTAAAAGGCCATCCTTGCACTTTGAAGGTGGTGTAGTACTGCATTTGATGACTGAAACAATTATCAGCCAGGCTTATGTCTGGCTGGAAGAGTGCTTCCCCCAGCTTACTCTCTGCTGCTGGCTTGCCTATAAGCAGCCAAAGTTACTGTGCATCCTACGTTGAAGGTTCGTGTATCTCTTCTCTGCAGACAATGAGTGCCACTGATGTAGCCAGCTCAAGCTGAAAATTTCACTCTTGCTAGTCTAGCAATGCAGAACAGTATGGTGGAAATCAACAGAGCAGGTAAAGGCATGGTGCTTCAGCCCCTGGACCAGGAGTGAGGGTGTGCACTGTGTCAGGTTCTCATCTTCCTCTGAGCATCACAGTTTTACATGATAGTCCTTATGCCTTTGAAGGATTGCCTTCTTTGTGTTTCTGTTAAATCTCTGCAACTCATATTGAAGGGCTTCTGTAGAAAAATAAGGATGTTTCTGAGTCTCTCCAACTACTTTTTTGAATATTTGTTTGTCCTTGTGCAGTTGGTGTTCTTTAACATGATGTGTGTTTCAGAGGTGTATGAGGTACATACATAACTTCAGGAGCTCATGTCATTGTCTTACTCTGGGTTATGAAAACTTGTGGTAAACATACCACAAAGTGAGTCTGAAATCCAGAACTGTTGGCTAAAGAATTACTAAAAAAAGAAAGGATTCCTTGGTTTTTTTCAGTTGCACAGTAAACTTCTAGAAACGGAGCGGCAGCTTGGGGAAGCACACGGGCGGCTCAAGGAGCAGAGGCAGCTGTCTAGTGAGAAACTGATGGACAAAGAGCAGCAGGTGGCTGATCTGCAGTTAAAACTGTCTCGTGCTGAAGAGCAGGTAGGGGTTCTGACGCAAACTCTAGTTTGTTCTGGTTCTGATAGCAGCCTGTATATACACGTGTGGTGACGTTGCAGTATGAAGTTTGTCCTTATGGCAATTTCAGTTGACTAATACTGTTAAAATCTTACGGTAAAATTGTCAAAATCTGCCTAAATGCCACTTGTCTTACCTTTTTTTTTGGTAAACTAAATACTTGTTGGATGCATGTATGTTCATGATGCTTTACAGATGAACAAAAGATGTGCATTGTGCACTTAGGAGCTTTGTCTGAGGATCTTGTGAAGGAGAGACGTAAGCGCACCTGAGCCCATATGAGTAAAGTGCTGTGTGTAGATATTTTTGTGAGATAAAGCCCTACATGAAGAAAAAGTGAGCGTGACACAGCGAGTCATTGATAGTTAATAACCTGTGTGGGGTGGATGGGCAGAAAACACTCATTTTATTAATTTTTATTTGTTTTAATGAGCATCTTATATTTGTTGCTGATTTTCTGCTGCCTGTATGGGGACTGGCCAAATATCTGAGTGGTATGTTGTCAAAGCTTCAAAGCTTTTCTGTAGCTAATTTGCAAAGCCTCGACCCAGTACAGAAGTGGAGAGACTGCTAAACCGAAGTTGCTACTAAAACTGCTAATAATAGTAAAAATAACATTGTTTTACAGGTATCTATTATCAGTCATGTTACAGCTTAACAGCTTTTGGAAAAAAGCATACTAAAAATCTGTTAGCGTTTAGATTTTTGAGAGCTAAAATCCATATATATCTCATAGTTGTTTTACAGTTCTCGTGTGTGATATAGAATCTCGCCTATTAATAATAATGAATGCTTTGATAAGTTTTTGATTTTTTTTTAACTGGCATTACACACGTTTATTTTTATACCAGTTTTCAAACATTCATGTTTAGACTAAAATCTTTTAGTGTTAGAATGAACATGGAGCAGTGTTGGCATACTGAGTTGTGCTTGTTTTCTCATTAGTCTGGTTTGTTCGGTTGGATTTTTTTCAGCTGAAGGAAAAAGCAGCAAATTCCACAGAACTGCAACATCAATTAGATAAGGCAAAACAGCAGCACCAGGAACAGCAGACACTTCAGCAAAATACTACATCAAAACTACGAGAAGCTCAGGTAACATAGTTATGTATCCTTGTAAAAGTGTATTTCAGGATTTCGTTATTTTAAATATGTTTTCTCTGTACAAGTAACTTACGTGACTTACACTAGTTTTAATAAATTAACTTGTAAATGTAGAACAGAATATACAGAAAGTGTTTATTAAATTTATCCGACATTTTATGCATTAGGAATAAATTCTAGGGTCCTTATAATTAAGGAAGCTATTATGTGATTTTTTAGAATGATTTGGAGCAAGTACTACGACAAATTGGAGATAAGGACCAAAAAATTCAAAATCTCGAGGCTTTGCTCCAAAAAAGCAAGGAAAATATCTCTCTGCTAGAAAAGGAAAGAGAGGACTTGTATGCAAAAATTCAGGCTGGTGAAGGGGAAACTGCAGTTCTTAACCAGCTACAAGAGAAAAACCATGCGTTGCAAATACAGGTAAGAACTCGGAGACTGGATTCTTTTCTGTCATTCTCATTACTGAATCTTGTTTCATTTTTTCCTGTCTCATCAGGTCTGACACTTTTCTGTACTTTGCTGGGTTTTTGATACTTGCTTTAAAGATCTTACTGTAAATTTCACAGGACTTGTGTTTTGGCGACTTCTGTGCTTTCAGCATAGGGGAAGGAATTCCTAGATGTTTCCCATGTACATATGCTAGTAATACATGCTTACAAATAACTTATGGATACATATACACTTAAGTTTCTGTCATTTTCAAAAGAGGTTTAATTCCTGCTATCAACAGTAAAATTCAGTTTAGCCTGTATCTGTTGTCTCCTTAGTATTTGGGGTTTGTTACAGTAAGGCCAGATTGACAATTCCCTTTTGCTTCCACTTTCAGCTGGTAATGTATTTAAAGTCTAATATTGTGTACAAAATAGACTTACTGTAATAGTTCAGAAGAAGAAATGGGATAGCGGTGGATCTCCAAAGCCATGATAAGACATGCCAACATTCAAAAGATTTATGACTTCCTTGGACATGCTGTTACAGCCTTCTTTTCTCCTTGCCTCTTTTTTTTTCATTGCAGGTAACTCAGCTGACAGAGAAGCTGAAGAATCAATCAGAAAGTCATAAACAAGCCCAAGAGAATTTGCATGAGCAAGTGCAGGAGCAAAAGGCACATCTAAGAGCTGCTCAAGACCGTGTCCTTTCCCTGGAAGCAAACATCACTGAACTGACTAGCCAGCTAAATGAAAGTAAAGAGAAAGTTTCTCAACTTGATGTACAGGTAATGGAACTCTATACTGTCTGATGATGATGAATCCTGCTTGTGCTTTCTGTATTCTCTCCAGAGAACATACAAAGCAACTTGGGTAAAAATTGCATGTTTCTACCAACAGATGACTGAAGTAGAGTAAGGCAGATAAAACATGTAAGTGGGTGCAGAATAGCAATAGATGGCAAGTGTTCATTTTGTTGTTGTTGGTTTTGTCTAGATTTGTTTTGTTGGTTTGCCTTTTTTTTTTCTTTTTTTTTCTTGTTTTGTCTAAATTGAAAAAGCCCCAGAGTTCATAATTGAGTTGGGAAAATCCATCCTCGAGCGTCTCTTGTGCTGTCTGTAATGATTTGTTATCCTAAACCCTTCACTTACCCGTCCTGGATTCTGTGCAACGGAGTGAAAGTCTGTTAAGTCACTAAGATCTTGTCGCCTAGAAATTTCCTATGCTGTTATATTTTGTCAAACCCAAAAGCTGTGGGCCACCTTGTTGCCATTTTAATTTACTAAACAAGAAAGTTCCCCAGTATGGACTTGATGTTGGCTCTCCTACTGTTAAGTACTGCTTAAGCTAGAAGCTGCTTATTATGTTCAGCTGTCCCAAAGAAAGAATAACATTTGATCAGAAGTTTGGCAAGTATTAAGTTCTTGCATCAGTAGGTTTGGAGCAGCTAGTACTGTTGTTCTTGCATTAATTCACTGTAGTATCTTCAGAATTAGTGATACTCAGTTTTCAAGCAGGTCTGGGAACTTGTTCTGATATAGCTTTGTGATGTTTTTACTGGGCTTTGCTACAATACCTAGCCTGTTATTTCACTGAGACATTAGCATGTCTGCTAGGGATAAAAATAGTAAAGCACAATAGCAGGTGACCCCGAGTATTGCCTCTCTGCACCAACACCACTCATACCTACCTTCTAAATTTTACTTACTGGGTATTTTGGGAGCAAGGGGGGTTGCTCCTTGACAGACAGATAGAACAGAGAAAGATGGTACTCATGTGGAAGCATATTTTTGTTATTTCTTACTCTCCTAGCTTTTAAAAATTTTGGAGACCCACAACTGTGACTGTAATCTGAGCTTATTGAGGTACACGTGTTTGTGAATGTGCACACAATGTGAATGGAAGTCTATCTTTTTGTAAGTTAAAATATATTCCTGGAATACAAGATGAGTGAGACTGGTGGTGTTTTTTTTTCTGTTTTCTTTAGCTCAAAGTAAGACTTAACTGTTGCTTAAAATCCTGATATTTTCTAAACTTTTAATATCTTATATCTTTCTTCATTTTTTTTTTTTTAAGTAGCACATGAAAACTGCTGATTTTGCTACTAAGCATACTGATAAATATAAAAAAAATTGAAAATGAGCTATGGAAAAATAGATGTTCTAGTGAAATACAACTTGCCTTTCAGGTAAAAGCAAAGACTGAATTGCTGCTTTCAGCAGAAGCATCAAAAGCTGCTCAAAGAGCGGATCTTCAGAATCATCTGGACACTGCTCAGCATACATTGCAAGATAAGCAACAGGTTATAAGTAACATACAAACATAAATTTTACCTAAAAATTACTTATAAACATAACAATAGTCTTTTTACAAGCTAAAGAAACATATGAATATGCATTTGGAAATCATCATTTAGAATATTTTAACCAAGTGATATGTATTCATTTCTTTTTGCTGTAATATGGACCAGATGTATTTTTTAGTATGAAGAATTTACTAAGAAATCCACTCTTCACTGTAGGATTATGGTCCAGTCTAAGCTGTCCTATTAGGGTATAATTCAGTTTTCACGTGTATGTTATGAAAAAAAGATTGCAGGATGTACTGGGTACAAGTAATCTTAATTCTTACTGCAGATTCAGATAAATTCAGAATCAGACTTCTATATTCAGCAATTATTATCTGTGTGCCAACTGTCACAAAAAAAACCTAAAGACTGATGTTAAAATGGCATGTTTTACCATGTGCTAATGCTAGTGAAGCTCTCCACCAGCTGCTGAATCAAATATTAACATTGTTAGAATCAGTGCTATTGTGATCTTCATGGAAACATCCAGCAGATGCTAACATAGCACCATATTTCAGCATAAGAATGTAATTAATTGCTATAAACCTTGCTGCTCTGCACCCTACCTGTCTCCTCACAGCAGCTAGAAGACCATTTTTTTTCCAACTATTAAATAATTAATAATGAAATACATCAGCTTGGCTGGAGTGCAGTGAGCAGTGATGTAGCTGTCATCATAGTGGTAGTAACTACATGAATGTGTTCATGTCTCTTGTGGAAACTGGGTTGCTTTGTGTTGAACCAAATAGTTTGAAATATCTCTGGTATGTGGAGAACTGACTGTTTCCATGGTACTGGCTTTCTTCAACAATGCTTGATTTCATGAGGACAGCAGAAATTTTTGCCAAGGTTTTGTAGTGTTACTTTCTAGTTACTGTTGTCCAAACTGCAGGATCTAGTGCCATTATTATTTGTCAGTTTAACAGAGAGAATTTGTACATCTGTTTGCGTTTGCCTCTCTCAATTTCCTGCCCTTCAGAATAAAAAGAAACATTAATTTACATTTTAGTTTGGACATGTTAGAACATTTAAAGCATACATGACATTAGTCATTTTTGGGAGTTAGTTAAAAACTAACCCCCCCTTGTGTTTTTATTTTACCTCAGGAGTTAAACAAGGTCAGCGTTCAGTTGGATCAGGCTACAGCTAAGCTGAATGACAAGCAGGAATACTGTGCTCAGCTGGAAGTCAATCTTAAAGAGTACAAAGAGAAACATCTTTATTTAGAACAGAAAACTGAAGAGCTACAGGGACAGCTTAAGGTTTGTATTGAACACAGTACCTGAGCTCACAGAAACTAATGTTCTCTGCTGTTTGGTATCATATGATAAAGGCTGTGGTCAAATTCTGGGGTAAGGATTGTATCAATCCCACTTGTGTAGGCTTTCATTTTCAGTAGTGTTTCCTGATCCAACCTTTAATCCTATTCTCCTCTTCTATGTTAGCATATCACACTGAGAAGATTAGCTTGGGACATTGCCACTGTACTGTCATTTTCCTGTACATGTGCTTCTGCTAACCTCTGTGCTACTGGGAAGGTGTTAGAAGAGGGAGTGTGAATGCTTCCTGAAATTAGAGTCTTCAAGGTCAACCTTATACACTTTACAAGTGGTAGCTGGGAGTACGTGCTGGATTGGTTAGTCCAAGTTAACACTACCTGTCTGGTTTAATTTATTTTTAAAGCCTTTCAGTAGGCTCCTGCAGAGGCTTTTTTAGCAAGATTTTTCCTCTAACTTGATCTTGAGTTTTGCATTCCATTTCTGGAATAATTTTTTCTCTTAAAGTGCACACAATTCTGGTGGAGGTGTTGGTGGTTTTAGACACTAATGTTTTCAGTTAAGGATATGAATTAGTCCTAATGCATGAAAGCTTTTAAATTTTGGCTTTAACTTTTGTTCAATATTTGCTGAGCAATCTTGATGGTCAAAATTCACAATATGTAAAACCATGTGGTACAAGGATCTTCAGAGCCATGTAGAATTATTTTTGTGGTGTTGTCTGTTTTGAGGGAGATTAGCAGTCTTTATACTCAAGACTGAGTGACATGTTTTTTCTTAGCTTATGTAGTTTTTAGGAGAGAAATTAAGTTGTTTTCCCCGTATGAAATTCTATATCCAATGCTATTAAAAACTGAAGCAGTCGTATATTTACATTTAGTGTAATAATTTTGTGCTTCATATCTCTCTTCTTCAGCACACTGTTATTTTTCTCCCTGCTATCATTTGTAGTTTTTTCATCCTTTTGCTGAATTTTCATGTGTAACCAACAGACACAAATGCTTGGGAGGAATACAGTGCCTGCTTGCACAAGAATTTACAAGGTTCCTGGTAGCTGAAGTGTAAAGCTGAGCAGGGTTCTTGATGCTGCCAACAGAAATGCATTTCTGTGTAAATTGGTGTCATCATTGTTCTTCAGGATTATTCCAGTTGAATGCATGATATTAAAAAAACCCAAGAAAACAAACAAAACCAAAACCAAAAAACAAACCCTCAGGAATTTTCTCCGAGAAATTTGGCCATTTTTTTTCATGGCCACTGCATTAAAGCAGAAGTGACTTTAAAACAGCCACTGTATTGAAGATTCTAAGCAGTGCCTCTTTGCTGAAGATTCCTGCAATCTTTATACTCTGTGTAAATGAACAAGTACCTTCTTAAAACAAAACAAAAAAAACTCTACCAGGTAAGGGTAGGATTTACAGCTGTAATTTCTGTCTTTGCTTTTGTTATCAAGAGCAGCAGAGTTCTTGGAATATGTAAATCAGTAGTCATTTGAAGCTGATGAAACTGCTTGGTGGTGGCTGAGAACCTGGCCCCAGAGCCGAGCACTGTGTGTGGCCTTTTTTTGTGTAGGTGTTTTGAATAGGTTCTTCAACGATTTCTGCTTTTTATAGAATCATAGAATCCTTTA